GATCCAAAAAAAAAAAAAAATTCCGTTTATCTCTCTCTCGACAGATCGTCCTGTATCCCGCCTATCGTGATGGCCAAGGAATCGAGATGCCGGATACGATTACGTGTAATATAGATATTGTATATTATTGTAAGATAGATCTCTATATCCAACTGTGCAGACGAGTGTTCCACATCAGTTTTTCAGTTTTTTACATATACCTCTTTTTGTGTTTTTTCTTTTCCGGTTAGATACTCTCTATCCAAGGACACGGCCGTTGTACAGAGTTCGCGCGCCAAAGACCAACAAAGAGGGTAAATGAAAATTATTATTTTCTTTTCCGCAGCTTATCTGGGCTTTGTCCAATACCCAACGTGTCCAACACCCGACCCCCCTGACTAACTATCCTTGTGCTTTTACAGAACTTCACACTGTACATATTATAATATGAAACATGTGTCACACGAAGTTCTAATAATGTATAGCATTACCGATGATGGTGGCGGGTGCATCTTTATGTATAACGCGTGTATCTTCGTGGATTGTACTAACGATTTATCTTAGATACGATAGACGTAACATGTTTTTTAATTAATTAAATAGTAATTTCTTGTGGAGTAATTTTACGATTCTTCTTTAAGCACAACTCGTTAAGTTAAGTTGTTAAACGAGATATCGTAGCATGGCTTTGGCATAAATATATAAAAATATATACATATATATATATATATATACATATATTGTGAGGTATGAGGGTATGGTTTTCCAAAGTTATTAAAAACGAATTTTTTTTTTTTTTTTTTTTTTTTGATCAGCTATTAGATCGGGTGACTATTATATGTTCGACGAATTGGACGACGACGACGTTACTGACATGATCCCGGACACCGAGTCCGAGAAGAGGGAAGCGGAGAAACGTCGCGAGTTGGAGCAACGCGGAAGAAGAATGACCATTTCCGAGGTACGTCGATTTTTATAGATATCGAAATCGCTACTGAACTGAATTTGAACGTTACTTATTCTTTAGAGAGGGTTTACACGATAAGAAACTCTGGTTTGTCTGCTATGAATTTTTGAGAAAATCTGAAAGTTTGACTAATCGAAGAATGCTTGATCCACTGAGAAATTCTGCGAAACGAAAATTCCCCGACATATATTATTTTATATATACTATCAAAAAATCGAGAAACAATATTTTTTTTTTTTTTTTTTTTTTTTAATTTCTCCCATCCCATCAATTATCGATTTGGTTAATTACTTCAGTTAACTTTGTTAACTTATTTGTCATTCGGTTAACTCAGTTAACTACTTATAATATTCAATATATCACGCTCGTTCCTCGACGAATCTATCAGATGGATCATCGGATCATGGCCAAAGGTTGACTTTGTTCTCCTTTGTGTGTGCATTAAATTCTTGCATTTTATTCTATCGATCCACCCACTAAACCCTCGCCCTCTCCCCCTCCGTATAAAAGAGTCGGCTCTCTCTTTCCCCTCCCCCACCCCAATTCCCCCCAAATTTTCACTATTTTCACGATTTTCACAATTTTCACTATCCTTGGCCCATCGAGGAGATCATCAGACAGCAGACAACAATATACGAAAGAAGGCAATACGGTATTGCATGGAGTGAAAAATGACTCAAAAGTCTGGTCCCCTTGCAGTTGATGAACACGCTGATTAAGACAGACATTGAGATCGCGACGCACGTCGCCATGTTCGGAGGGACTGAAAAGGACGCGCTGAAACTACGTCGTCGGAGTGAGCCTTTAACAAGGAAGAAATCGTCTATGTCGTATCTCAGTGCACGTTCCGAGACCGCAGTGGCCACCGATGTGAGACCCCCCTTAAAAGGCTGCATGTCACTGCTACAGGCTCTCTTTTTCTTACCTTTCCACCATCTTTTCCTTGTATTCATTTTTTTTTTTTTGTATTTTTTGTTTTCTTTTTTCTTCTTCTTTTCTTTTTTTCGTTTCTCTCTTTTCCATTCTTATACATACATATTTATATATATAGCTTCCTTCATCTCAACATCGTTTAATCTCTCTGATTAATAATTCTTTCATTTTCTTTCTACTACTTTTTCTTCTTCTTCTTCTTCTTCTTCTTCTTCCTCTCTGTAATTATCGTTGTATCATTATGTTTCCTAATATCGTCGATCATCAGTGTCTTCTATAATAATTTATTATCTGTGAATAAATTTTTATCAGCTTTCGTTGTACTATACTCATTACATTTTTTTCTCTAATTTTTTATATTCCTTGATTTATTTATATTTATTTTCTTTTTATACATATATATATATATTTTTTTCTTTTTCGTTTTATCATCTCATTTACATTGAATACGAGCATATTTATTGAGAAATTATTTATTCAAATTAATAGTCAGCTACGCAAAACTCACATTTTCTAACATATTTTAACATAATAATAATACACGAGATAATACAGCCACACAGCAAACCAGCGAGTAATAGCGATATTAATTATATTGTACAAATATTTATATTTTTTGCTAGTTATTACAGTGCTTCGACCGTGTAATTATTCTTCTTTTTTTCTTTTCGCATCTTACAGCTTTGTAAAGAAAAAAAAAGAAAAAAAAAATAAAAAATAAAAAATAATGACGGAAGCGGTGGCGTACCATTTTACGTCGATTCTCCTTTTTTTTTATGTTTTTTATGTCATTTCTTTTTAATGTTGTAGTCGCAGGAGGCTCCTCATCGTTGGTGTACATAATCTGCCGCTCGATTACTTAGCTTAATTTGTTTTCATTACGTTTTACAGCGACTGTAGCACCATAATCTCACGCTTTTAATATCTTAACAATAATCTTTGATGTCGATCGATCGCATACGCTGAATTTGAATCATCATTGTCAACAAATCTTAATCATAATCATTTGGCGGAGGAATTTATAATATACGGATCTGGTTATTATTGAACGGTTAAGGATCACTCGATGAATTATGATATTCAAATTCGGCGTAGCAAAATATACGACGGTTTCGAGATAGATTAATAATATAAATGATAATTTTCCATTGAAATTAGGCTGTTGATACCACATCAGCAGACGTAGAAACCGAAGATAAAGACGTATCCATGGAGGAACGTGAGAAGACACCGGACATTGAAGAAGAGAAAAAGGATGAAGAGGAAATACCGAAGGAAGAAAAAATATCGATCGCGACGTATTTCAAGTTTCTCATAGTAATGATTAATAGCACCTTCATATCGATGACAAGATACCTGAATCGATTTTCACGGGACTATAGATATATTCGTAAAGTTTTAACGAAAGAGAAAAAATTATTGAAGGTACATGAGTTGTACCAATTATGAATAAATTAATCGATAATCAATAATTCCATGAATTATCCTCTCTTCGTTTTTTTATTTTTTTATTTTTTTTTACAGGCAAAGCCAGATCTACACATGGGGATGCGACTTGGTATCAATCAAATGTGGCAGCCAATGAGTTTTCT